ACCCTTCCTTTATAGTTACACAGCATATGGCTGGATCACAATAAAGTTCCTTTTTAGTAAATTAATAAAGTATGTCAAGAAGACATTTAATTTAATCAATAGGTTTTATATGGTATTATACATCGGCAATCGGTGAAAAATAGCTCTTGAAATATTATTTGTACAAATACTGAATAATTTGAAGTGTATTTCAAAAAGTTTCCTTCAATATTTCTTTTACGTTCTTAATTGTCATATAAATATGCATGTATAAATAAAGTCAGTATTTTATCCGAGAGTGACATTTGGCAGTCATTAGCAGTAAACAAGAAGGCAAGCCACCAGTTGATAAATGTTGAGTACATGTATTAAGATATTTAAAAAAATATTAAACAACAGGACCATTGCATTTTAGGTTAAATACAATGATACTTTTCAATAGTATTTAATAATGCACACATTTAAAAAATGATGAATAGATTTATTTCCCCCGATATTTTGTTTAATTTAATCTTCATGCGTAACCCACACTTACCTGCTAGACACACTGGTAGCTACTACCAGCTTTCACGGAATCGATTTTTTACGATGACGTCATAACATGTCCGCCGAAGATAGAGTAGACAGTACAAATTTGAAATAAATCGCATGTATGCGTTAAGACAGGTACAATCTAATATTTTTTCTAGGAGAAGTTAGTACTAAAATTTATATTCTATTGATCTTTAGAGGTAATTGAAGTTACTTTTAGGTTTAAGCAGTAAAAATCAGTCCAAACTATCGATAGTGTTACCGGTAGAATTCCGTGCGTAAAAATGACAGTTAAAATTAGGCGTAACGGTTTGACAGTAAGAAAAAAAAGTCTGTAAAATGGGTCAAACCGATCACGCCGAATTAATTAGGCTATCAACTTGGATATTAAGTGATTTATTGGAGCTTGGATTATTTTAAAATAGTTGAATTTATTCTTGTGGATTTTATTGTGGGAATTTATTCTAAAGTGTTCTTGGATTTAACTTGGATTTAACTGTGCTATTCAAAAAGGGATCATTCCAGGATCAGACTAGACATTAGATTTTACATTTATATTTGGACTTCAGGTATTTGTACACATAATTTGTTGTTTTAATTTTCTTTATTAATTTTTCTGTAATAAATTTGTTATTGTTACAAGTTTGTTGCTGGCTTTTCTTTCTCGTTACGCCTGGCTCGTAACAACACATCGCAACTGTTCGTATTACAAGAGAACGATAAAAGCCGATGTACTCTGATTGAAAACGGAAGCGTAGACTGGTGTCCTGCGCACTTATATGGGAACTATAATAAAAAGGGGGGACCAGAATAAACGGACGCAGTGTATAAAATACCGAATGACAATTTTAAAACGGAAAATGTAAAATAAAAATGAACGATTATTTCATTCTATTTTACGGTAAAAGAAAATCGAGCTCGCTTTAAGGCTTTGCCTTTTTCATATTAAATTCTATTTTGTTAAATAATTGTAATTTATAACCATTCATAGTGTCTTATAAGCAAAAATATCCCCAAATATTTGCGAATTAAACAAATTTTCCGCACCAGCAAAAAGACCTCTCGTATGCTTCTTTTTAAAAAAGCAAACTTGTCTTTCTTGCAGGTATTTTGTACCATAAACAAAACGAATAAATTGGTGGTGTTAAACCTATCATCGGAGCGCTCGGAATATTCCGAAAATCTCCGAATGTAAAGGGGGATCACTGAGCATGCATCGGCAGCCAGCCCGCATAGCTCAATCGGTTAGAGCGCGAGACTTGTAATCTCGACATTGTGGGTTCGATTCCCGGGCTGGCCAACTAAAATTACTAATCAGTCTTTCGGATGAGACTTTAAATCGAGGTCCCGTGTATGGGTGCTTAAACACTTGGCACGCTAAAGAACCAGGAGAAGCTTCTGGAATTGGGGCATCTTTCTGTATCTGTAATTGCACTATCCTCCAAAAATCTAAAATGACTAATACTCTTCTGGAGGACTCGCCCATATGGGCAACCGGTGGCGAGTATAAATAAACGCAAATACACACACACACATGCATCGGCGTTTGGAAGCTCCCGTCCGCCATTTTTGTTAATCTCAAATCACAGTTGTTGTTTTAACGTTATTTTTAATGTGCTTTATTTATCAAAAAGGATTTGTTAAAGTAACTTTTTATATTTATAATCGTTACTTTAGTTCTTATCAATGAAATGCATGTTTATTTTCTGATTTTGTACATCATTCTTTCACCGTAAGTGTTATTTAGCATGTGTAGTCATAATAATGTAAAAGCGCTCTCTTTATCTATATTTAGCTCAAAGGGATTTCAAAATGGCGGCGCCCAGTTAACTAAGGATTTCTTCACAGCTCATTAGGTAGAGGCACAGATCAACTCCATGGTAGAGGATATATTTTTTTTTGAAATTTTCATTTACTTTTATTTTGATTTGATACACGTCATACATGTTATCTAAGAGCGCTACATCCCTCGCGGGGCCTTCGGCCCCGCTCGGCCTTTCCGCGTATTACATTCACAAAAACCACAGCCCTCGCTCACACCCAAGTTACACAGAGCCATCGGTGATTGATCGGTAGTTTTTTTAGCCAAATTATGGAGTGAACCGATGAAAACGTATCTAACACCGATATCACCTATTGGTCACCTGTTTCCCACCTATCAACTGCTATTGGGGAAAGATAATTTTTATCGATTGGGATTTTTAAACATGTTTAAAATTCTCGATCGGAGAAAATATGTTACAAATAATCGACAGCAACCTATATCAGGAGATATGCAAGCTGTTAATCACCGATATCGCCGATCGAACAAAGATAACCAAATATTAATCACCCGCCATATTTGACGGAAAGCGTTTAACCACTGATGACTAGCTATCACACACCGATTACTCAGCGTTACGCCCGATTTAGCTCCGATTTACACACGATAAAAACCGATAGTATTTCAGCATTTTTATCACCGATCCAACCCCGTTTGAGTTTGCTTTCTGTCACCGATGGCCGTTTACACAGAAAACCAGAAATAAAATCACGCATGACAACCGATCATAACAGCGAGTAAATATAAAATTGAATGACCGGTTTGGGACCGACCGTCTGTGTAACTGGCCCTTCAAGCGTTAAATATTACACGCATCAATAATGGTTTAGGCCTATGCTCATGTGAGATTTCCACCTGCATTTAACAACTGCGGATATACTACATTATTTCAGGTAAACTTTAAATATTTTACAATTGTCTTTTAGTGTAAAAGTTTAATTAAATATAACACAGGACACCTTTTTAAATATTTAAACTCTTAGGTTTTAAGAGGCTTATAGAATCTACTTACAGGACATATTAAATACTTCACTGTGAAATGAGAAATAAATAAAATCTTAACAAGAATTAGAATTAACAAAATGAAAAAAATTGACGGTTACCATGACATTTTGTAAATTTACCGATGAAGCAATAATATTGATTTGTCATTCTATTTTGTATCATTTTACAGACAGTGAATATATGCACATTTTATTACATAGATAGTATAAATTGTATAACATATTGCTTCATTAAATTATGTACTTTAGGCGTGATAGATGTTGCACTCGTTAACAGACACAATCAAACTCAACCAAGTCTTTAATTGTTATATATAGACTTTATTTTATTTTGTTCTTTATGTTTAAATCAATTCATGTGACGGCATTATGATGAAGTGTCTTGCTTATTAAGTATGTATGATACGTCTATAAATCAACAATAACAGAAAAAAACATTAAACTAAAGGCGTTCCACTTATGTCAAGCCTAAAACACCGTAGGGAACGTGTTACAGTATCGCGCTTTCCGGTTACAGTATAGAATTTTCAAGATGGAGGACTATATGCAGCAAGACAGGTAGGTGATTTTTTATTTCGATCCATACTACATGTAGTTTAGTTTTTTAAAGATGTTTTTGTGTTTCGCTTGTAACGAACTAATTCCGGCATCTAGTCATATATTTCCTTAGACCCTGCATCGCAGTATTATCTATATATTGGCTCATAAATTTGCAGATCTGACAGTTTAAAAATTCGAATCGAGAGACGAACGCATTTTTCTCCCATTCTGACATTATTTAAGCATGCCTATAAAAATTAAACCTGCAAAACATAAGTCCTTTGTGTTTAGAAACGTTTATTAAAGAAAATGACCAGTTGAACCTATTTTCTTGTTCGTAAAACACGTTTGAAAAAATAAACAATGTTACAGTATAGAGCGGGATGAATTTCACAGAGTAACAGTATAGACCAAGTGGCTTTGTGCCGAATTGGTTACAGTTTATACCCAGATTTCGGTTACAGTTTAGACCCCATCATTAACAAAACTGTTGCTTCTGTAGATACTAGGTAAAAGGTATATATAACTTTTAGACCTTTAAATCTTTAATCTCACTTCAACAACTGAGCGTATGGACCTGATGGCTATTCGTCCGTCCGTCATTCATATGCGTGTGTAATGACAACTGCACAGTAACTACTTGAGCAAATTTGATGAAAATTGCATGAAATTTTACTATACATTTGTTTAAATGGTTTAAGTCTATTGCAATCTGGGATACAAACATCAAAAATATATATTAAAAATAGGCGATATTTGAAAATCTTCTTCACCCAGACCAAAAAGCATTCGCTGTAAAGAAAACTTTCATTTAAAGGACTCCACTGAGGTTCAAAAGCCTAAATGATAAAATATTAATTTCTTACATAGTTCAAATGAGGCACTTAAAACAGGCAGATTTAAAAACAAAATAAAAAATTATGAAATTTAGTCATAAAAATACTGAAAATCGTATTATTGACGTTTTCTTGGTCCGATTTTAGTGAAAATCATTGCGACGCTTTTCGATTTGGAGTCACTTTTTTAAGCTTGGAAAAATTCTAAATGAAATGGGGAGTGAGCTATAATTTTTCAACCATTTTACTTATATATCCTTCATCACATAGAAAATATATCTCAAAAAATATTTCCAGTTCCGTCATGTCACAAAACCTGAATGGAGTCCCTTTAATTTGTTCAAACCATGACCCCGACGTCATTTTGAATGCTTATTTGATGAAGTGAAGATTGATTATGTCGTTATTAAATTAAAAGTTGTTTATTCTTTTTCAGACACCATGTACCGGAGTTTTTGTGTTTCTACTGCAGTGAGCAAACGAATGATCTGCAATGCTGTATAGATCACTTAGTAGCATCCCATGGGGATGAGATTCTGAAAATACGAACGAAGATTTTTAACGAGCGAACAGGAAGATTTGGTTTTCTAACAAAAAACTTCAACCTTGTTCCAATGGATATATTAGAGTTCGGACAGTGGCTACAAGTTGAATCAGACTGGACTGTCGTTGTAAGGGAACCTAATCAAGTAAATTACTGCTTAGATAACATGGAGCTAGAGGAATTCAATGATTTGATGTGTCAAGGTTGCGGGAAAGATATAAACGAAGGTGGAGAAGATGACATATTAGAAGCTCCCTTGCACAATTTAACTTTAGACAGCATTCATAGCCCATTTCCCAAGAAAATTAAATGTTCTACACCATTAAAAGAACACTCAGACCATGCAGAGATACCGTTTAAAAAATCGGACAGTCAATCAACAAACGCACATCTTGATGAAATGATTTCCATACTGCCTAATGTATTGGAACATATGAAAATAAATGGTCATCTTGAAACCTGGCTTAATCTTAATAAAATGATATCAGATGGAGTGTTTCCCTTTGATAATATTTCTTTTCTTCTGTTTATGGACGTGTGTAATTTTTTGTCATCAGAAAACACATCAGCTATGAGGTACACTGAAACTGTTAAAAGGTTCTGGCGTATTGGGTATCGTCTGTTCCATGGAAAATGGCTTAGATTCATGAGTGGTCCTAAGCATACGGGAACAGAACTATCAGGAACAAGTGAAAAAGGAGAGTTTGTTCCGGTAGAGGGAATGATAAACTTTGCCGTACCAAGTAAGAGTGTTATGTCTTCTAACATGGCTCCAGTCAAACAAGATGAAATCAAACCTGGAATTTTGTCATATCTGCTAGACAAAGTAGCCGATGATTCTAATCCTACTAAAACATACAAAATATGTTTAGATGGAAAGAAGATTAACGCGTCTACAAGTGGCCCAGAAGGTGATATCGATCTTTGGGGATTCGAACACAAACCAACTTTAAAAGAAAAGCGTCGTGCACTTCAAGAGGAGAAAAATATGATTGCTGAAACGGTTGAACTAGTTAACCAATTTGGCGATAAAATTAAAAGTATTTCTAATAAGGAAGTCAACAAAAGTCAAATAGATGGTCTCACGATGTTGCTTCGAAACGTCATTGAATGCTTGAGCAAGAGAATTAGTTCACTTCGAAAAATGATCGTACAAAAAGAAACATCAAAAGACCGTCTGAAAAAAGAAGCTGGTGAAGATTGGAAAAAATCAAAGTTAGTTTTCGTCATAAGTAGTCTTATAACAGGCATTTATGACATTAAAGCATGCATATCGAACTTATTGAAAGTGATTGATGAAATATGCAGAGTAGTTGCTTCAATATATGGGCAAAATTACACCAGTGAAAGTAATGTGAACATGAAAGATATAGTTAATTACAAGCATTTTGCTGAAGGGGGCAGCGAACCAAGGTACACTAAACAGAGAAGTGAACAATGGTTTAATTTGAGGAAAAATGCAGCTATTACCGGAAGTACATGTAACGATGCTATTGGTCTAAGAACATTGAAAAAACAGGTGGAGCATTATGATGAGTACATTTTGAAAATAAGTAAACCTGAGCCTTCAGACAGTGTCAAAGAAATGATGGCATACGGAACTGAAAACGAAATCAATGGTATTGCTACATTGGTTGCAAAAGTTCTTCCAGTTTTAAATCCTGAACTCAGTTACTTTGAAGAAGGTTGTTATCCGCTGTCACTAAATGATGTAAACGTTGTGGTTAGTCCAGATGGCAGTTGCCGATCATCACAATCAGAACCAGCTATCTATGGAGTAGAAGTAAAATGCCCATTCCCAGGAAAGAAATATACAGCACCAGTATTGTATACACTGCCAAAATATTATGTTACCCAAGTTTTGTTAGAAATGAAAGCACTCGATGTCAAACAGCTATACTTCACCTGCTATTCGAAAGAGTCAACTACAGTGCAACTAGTAACCTTTGATGAAGAATTGTGGTCACTCATTGAACAAGAGATTTATACTCTTTACGGTGGCGATAAACCCAGACGACCCACGAAAAAATCTGAAAGTCTAAAAATTATTCAGCAAAAAATAGAAAGCTTCGTAAATACAAATGTTCATTTCATTATGGAAGTATTATCGGTGAAAGCTGTTGAATGTATACCAGACCAGGCACACGTTGACGTTGCTGAAGTATATTGTACAAAGCACATTGATTCAGACTGTAATTTAACGGAACCTACATATACTAATAAAGTTCAAGAAATACTGTACAATGCAGAAGAGAACTTGGATAGGGCTTACCAACTTACAAGAAATAAAGCTTCTGAATTTCTCGGATTTATGATCTCGGACCTTGATAGGGAATATAACACGAATGCTCTTCATTCAGTTCCGATAGCATATGGCTTAAAAGGGTATAGCCTACCAACCGGAACTTTGAGAAACATGTTAGAATTTGTATTAAACGAATGTTTGCAAAGGGGCTTATATGTACCAGTTTGCTCATTTGATGGTCAGTGGTATCGTCTGGTTGTGCGAGATCGGAACGAGATACCTTTAACAATTCTTCAACTGCAACGTGACGTTTATAACTCAGTTAAACAAAGGTCTAAATCTGATATAATAAAAGAAATTTCCAGTGCCAACAAAGTCGAAGTTTCAAACTATGATGACTTACAAGATTGTGTTGACATTGTATGGAGACGGAAAAAAACAATGATAAAGAATGGTGCGATAGTTTGCACTAATGTTATCGAAGTCAAAGGCAAAAAAGACAATAAATTGTTCAAAATGTCAAAACAAACAATGCATATGATTCAGAAACAATTGGAGATCAACAAGGAAAAAGACAGCATTGACATGCAAGTGGAAGATGATGTTTTGAATAATGTTCCCGACAACGTTCATGAAATGCTAACTGCTGTCATTGCCGAAAATATCCATTCTATTATCACTGGCCATCAAAATTCACAAGAAGAAGAAACAACTTCTATGAATGATGACCCAGAAAAAATCGTTAGTACACCAGAAGAATTAAATCATCATGAAAATATCAGTATTCAGAACGACCACCCGTTAAGTAGTTCGGAAACAGTATTTCTTGATGAAAAAGACTTATTGCTTATGTTAGATTCTTTAAAGGGAGACCAGAAGTCAAACAGAATGAAAAAATGGGAAATAACTCTTGTTGATTTCCAAGAAAAGTTGTCAAACGCAACTACAATTGCAAATTCCTTTTTAGCATATGAGCTTCAAGTATGCTTAAGGCCTGTTATTTCAAAATTTAAATCAAAGGGAATAAAAGTGAATACATCCTCCAATAAGCACGTCCTTGTAAATGCATTTTCTCAAGCTATAGGAGACGGAAGCAGTATCACTCCAACAGCTAAGAAAAGGAAGTTTATACCACAACTTAAAGCGTTAGCAAAAACAGCTCTTCAAAAATTGTCTAAAGCCCATTTGAACATTTTACTTGCTGAAAACATATTTCCAGCAAAGCTTGATGATTGGTATAGAAACAACCCTTTTGGTAAAAACATCTCAATTTCGTCACTAGATTGTTCTGACCAGCCGTTTTGGTACAGTCAACCTGAACTCAACGACACATTAGGTTATTATATCTTTATGGTATTGGATGTTTATCATCAGTTATGTGGTGCTCGAAGGCTTTTCTGTGCAAACGGTATGCCAGCTGCTGGAATCAGTTCAGCATATATTCATTCAGTTGCCGAAAATAGCTCACTAAATGGATGTGGTTTAAATACAGCACATGTAAAAGACTTAATAGATAAGCAAAGTGTAGCATTCGCCGTGTTAACATTTTCAGAGAAGGTAGAAATGTGTCTTAAAGATATGGGGGCTGTAAACGAAGCATATTTTTGTAAACTGATCAGGAACTGGTATAGAGCCGAAGACGAACCGGGCATCTCAGCGATGGATCGCTGTAAATACCGTTTAGAGCTTCGAAAATGGTTACTCAGCAACGTAAACTTAGGAGTGTTTCCACCACCAGGCGCCTATGTCAAAGATATTCCTATCGTTTTGTATGAAGGGTTATTAACAGGAATTGAAAGACGGATACAGTTATTTTCGTTTTCGAAATCAGGATCTTACAATGTTAGGGCGGTTGGCAGTCTAGACATTGAGAACTTTTTTGGAGGGTTCCAAGACATAGATCCGTGTGGAAAAGGCGTGTTGCGTCCAGATAACATATCTGCCGCTCTCAGTATCGCAACCGAATTGACAGAAGCTAGAATGAACCCAAACAGGTAATAATATGAACACATATTTTAAATGAATATATGTGCAAAATACAGTAGATATGTCTACTTGCATTTAATGCACATGCCCAATTTATAAATATTGTGTATTGGACTTTAATTGATTTTCTGTTTTTCTATATGAATAATATTAAGTTTCTTCGTATATTTCTCTTTTTTGTACGTATCTATATGATAAAAACAAATCATGTTGCCAAGCTACACTCATAGTCCAAAAGTGACTTTATTTGGCTATTAAACGCTGTTTGGGTTTCATTTTTTAAACACTAAACTAAACAATATACAATACATTTCAGGGGATTTTATATGTGCACTTCTGTGGCAAAAGTATATCCATGTAACAGTTATGACCACACTTATCCAGTAGATGGTACCGGAATAGACGGTAGTGGGCAATCTGTTCGAGATCTATCAACAATAAAAATCCGGTAAAATCATTTTACATTCTTGCAATATGACTTTTTGTGTAGCTTTTATATCTATAAGAAAAATGTACTAACTTAATGAAGAAGATAAGGAATACGTACATTGATATTGTTAATATCATATACATATCATGACATTTGAATTTATAAACGATACGTAATTTGTCAATTGAAAAAAAGATCTGGATAAAGTTTGATCCCTCGGAAGCATTAATCACAAGAAAATAACATGAAAATTGCAGTTTGAACTTTGGAGCTTGAACCTGTGGTCCGTAATTTTCATATCAATCATAAAATATTGTAGGCTAAGTTCTTAATAACTTTTATCAATTATATATGTTTTAGAGATCACCCATTTGATAGCAGTGACCGTAAGCGAGGAAAGACAAAACGGAAACTCGGAAATGTATCTAAGCCAGAGGAACCGGGAAGACGACCGCTCACAGTCCGAGAACACCATAGGACACACGAAGCTAAAATACTTCCACACGTTAGACGGGGGCTTGTTTTAAAGGACGATGATTGAAACAATGCATTTCAATATTTAAAAGAAATATTAAGTTGATAGTTAAAAATATGTTTCAAATTTTACATATTATACTCGAAATAATTAAAAAGTGACAATACCCGTAACATAAAGATTTCTGCAACCTGCGACTTTGTATGATAATAATGATATTATTTTCCAATTGCCTGATAAAATATGTCAATAAATGTATGCTTACAATAAGTTTTAAACTCGATTTTCTTTTGCATGCAGTGATGTATATATATTGAATAGTAAATTATTAAAAGGAAATATTTAAGACACGCTAGTTATTGTAACTTCATTTTTATACAAGTGATAATAAATCGTATATGTAGCTGTATGATATATTTCAAATGTCATTTATCTCCTTCTGATTTATCGTGTGAAGATATTTTATTCTGAAGTGCTTAGTTTGTTTTAAACATTACATTTTCCCTTCAATTTGTTAAGCCCGTTTTAGTGTGTCCCCATTTAAATTGTACTACATTATTATAAACCGAAAAAAATTAATGTCTGATGTAATCACATGTGGTTTAGGGAGTATTGAGACAAGTTAAATTGTTTCTCATATACATGCATTTACAAGAGTAGAAAAAAGGGATTTCCATTATAAAAAAACTATATAAAAGTGTAATCTAAACTGGTTTGACATTTCAAGCTCGAGTACGTTTTCATAAAAATGGTCCTCTATATTACATTTGTCCTTGCTTAACTAATGGTACTGATATCTTACAAGCATATCACTTGTCTATAATCATGACTTAGGGGTCTTTATTTTAGATTCACACTTACTTGCCTGAATTTATTTGTCAGGTCGCAAAGTGGCATAAATAAGAATTACAATGTACAATTATTCTTTTATTTGGTATTCTCATCAGCACAATTTTGGAACAGATTTTATAATAATTATACTCATTTTTTCATAAATTTAAATAAAATAACATTGTTAAAAATAACATCCTGACATTAAATGAAAGTGATAATTCTAAAGGAAAACGACAATTTAAATGACGATACAGCTGATTGTAAGTCGCAAATGAAATAGAAACTGTTTTTCAAACGAGAAGGAGAAAAAAAATCAATTTTCTTTTTGGTAGAGCTTATATACATTGTAGATATGCATTTTGAATAATTAAACAAGTACCTTAACATTTAAACATAATATTACACACTTGAAAGTTAAAATTTATTAACTAAAAATAAATAAACTAAAATAATCTCAGTTCAATCAACTTTAATCACAGTTCTATCACAGTTCAATCACAGCTTAATCATAGTTCAATCACAGTTTAATAACAGCTTAATCATAGTTCAATCACAGTTTAATAACAGCTTAATCATAGTTCAATCACAGTTTGATCACAGCTTAATCATAAAAGAAATCACAGTTTGATGACAGCTTAATCATAAAAGAAATCACAGTTTGATCACAGCTTAATCATAGGTCAATCACAGTTTAATCACAAGAGATATCTCAGATCAATCACCAAATAATAATGCTAACATATTTAATTATCACGGGATAAAATGGTTTCTTATAAGCACTTATGAACTAGCTTGAACAATTGATGTTAAAATTAACTAACCTTATGATTTGATAAATACAAACAAAATCAAAATCTTTTATACGTTCTTTAAACTTAGATCAGCAGGTTTATTAAATTTCGATTCTGTTTTATGATTTATAAAGAATTAAAGGTAATGGAGATATTATTACAACCTTGAGGCGGAGATAATCAGTAACATCAAGAATTAGAAAAAAATCAACAAAAGAAAACTAACGGAGTTATATTGATCTTCCTTTTATCTAAACGCATCTTTCAGAAGCATCGTTCACGTTAAATGTTTCTTCTTCATGTGTCTCGACAGACTTGCCCTCCATTTAAACCCTTTTCCACAATTACTGCATCTGTGCGAACAGCCGTGTGTGTGCACAGCGACTACGTGGTCCTTCAGCACGTGCTTATCACTATAAGCAATGTTACATGTGGAACACGAGTAGGATTTCTTCTCATGGAAGTGAACAACGTGGCGCTTGAGAGCTGTTTTTGAAGAATACTGCTTGTCACAATTTGGCATAATACATTTAAACTTTTCAGACCCATGCTGAATCATGTGACTTTGTAATTGGTGTTTCTCAAGAAATGTTTTCTTACAGACACTGCACACATGTTTTAGATTGTTATTTCCATCGTGCTTCGACAACGTGTGTTTTCTAAGACCACCGCCAGTCTCGAATCGTTTTCCGCAGTCCGTGCATAGTTTAGTATTTTCGTAATGAAATGATTCGTCCATGGCTTGGTATCTGAAAAGGAAAATGATATTGAAAGATACAGAATATAATTAACAACAGACAACTCCAAAATATTTTCCTTATGGCAACATAATAGTGGTCGATTTGGGATAAGCTCGCCGACCTCAAATCACTTTACCCCGTGGTTCTAATCCCGCCGTGGCTTTGGATTCTTTGCATATGAGGAATCTATCAAGCTAGCTTACGTATTGTCACTTGTTCTGGTCAGGTGCCCACTCCTGTCTGAAATGATTAACAAAGGGGCATATGAGGTCTACCAAAACCAGCAAAGCTGGAAAGTTGTCATATGACCTAAATGTCAATGAAACTTAAAATCACAGAAAACGTAGATGCTGTTTGTTTTTGTATTTATATATTTCAAAATCAATTCTGTGTATTTTTAAAGAAAAATCGGCTACATTTGATCCTACAAACCTTAAAGCTGGTCTATTCAACTCTTAAAAACTAACCTATTCGTACATTATATTTATACATAAAAATTGCAACTTGAAATAAGTTTTATTTCTAATACGCGTAATAATGTGTAATGAAATCAAAAATTATCTTTCTACTCTCCAACAATTTGATAACAGATACTTCTGTTACTCTGAATAAGTCATTGCTTATTCTACAAAAAAAGTATCATTGAACATACAGGACTTAAAGTAAGGAAAATAGAAAACTATAACTTTTCTGCTTCAGATTAACGTAATAGATCTCTTCAAGAATATATTAAATAGGAACGTATGGATTACTTGATAAAACAATTTATGCACAAACTTTTTTTGAAATTTGGCAAGGGTCTAAACTGTAACCGAAATCTGGGTATAAACTGTAACCAATTCGGCACAAAGCCACTTGGTCTATACTGTTACTCTGTGAAATTCATCCCGCTCTATACTGTAACATTGTTTATTTTTTCAAACGTGTTTTACGAACAAGAAAATAGGTTCAACTGGTCATTTTCTTTTTATAAACGTTTCTAAACACAAAGGACTTATGTTTTGCAGGTTTAATTTTTATAGGCATGCTTAAATAATGTCAGAATGGGAGAAAAAAATGCGTTCGTCTCTCGATTTCGAATTTTTAAACTGTCAGATCTGCAAATTTATGAGCCAATATATAGATAATACTGCGATGCAGGGTCTAAGGAAATATATGACTAGATGCCGGAATTAGTTCGTTACAAGCGAAACACAAAAACATCTTTAAAAAACTAAACTACATGTAGTATGGATCGAAATAAAAAATCACCTACCTGTCTTGCCGCATATAGTCCTCCATCTTGAAAATTCTATACTGTAACCGGAAAGCGCGATACTGTAACACGTTCCCTACGGTGTAAAAACAAAAATATGAAATTTGAACATCTTGCATGGATCACGTCATTCACGTGTCAAATTTTCCATTTAGAATTGAAAAAAAATACGCAAAAGATAATAAATAGAAGATATTTAATGAGTGTAAGGTTAATACTAAATTTATTGAACGAGTTGAATAAAATTATATTATGCGAGCCTCTGGCGAGCATAATATTATTTTATTCGACTCGTTCAATAGATTTAGTAATGAACTTTCACGAATTTAATGAACTTTCACGAATTTAATATTCTATTTATCACATACCAAAAATAAAGACCGTTTTGAGTTAAAAGAATCATATTTGATTTCCTTGATGCGCCTATTATATAGAGGATATTTGTTTAGTTCAGTGTAAGATCGGAATATATTTCACCAAGTGAGCACCAAAAAGCCACTAGTGAAATATGAACTTTTGGTGTTCACGAGGTGAAATATATTTCGATCTTACAATAAACTAAACAAATTTTCTTTTTATTATATGCAAAGAAACGTTTAAAAAAGTACTAATTGAAAAGGGCGCCAAATAATAAAACAACGTAACGTCATTTACGACGTCACGTCATTAAGTTGGTTTCCAGTGCTGTAAACGCTTGTATTTCACGGGCTCAAATATTAAAAAAATTGATAATTTCACTGTTTAAAATTGTGAACTTATCAGTTTTTAGTTCACTGATATATTTCTATAAACCACCGAAAAGCATGTAATAAATAATGCTAACATTAAGTGCGTCTTAACACTATGTTTATATAACGCAAACGACGTCACGTCAAAATAAATGCACGCCGTGCAATACCATTTTTTACGGAGTCGCAAAATCGGCACGGGTATGTGATAAATAGAGGATATTGAATGAGTGTAAGGTCAATACTGAATTTATTGCACGAGTTGAATAAAATTATATTATGCGAGCCTCCGGCGAGCCCAATATTATAAATTGAGTTGAATAAAATTATATTATGCGAGCCTCCGGCGAGCCTAATATTATTTTATTCAACGAGTGCAATAAATTCAGTAATGAATTTACACAAATCTAATATTCTTTTTATCACATACCCAAAATAAAGACCGTTTAATGTGAAATAAGAGTCTTTAACGCATCTTTACACTATGTTTGTATAACGCTAATGACGTCACGTTAATATATATGCACGGCCGTGCAATACCATTTTTACGGAGTCGCAAAATCGGCTCGGGTGTGTGATAAATAGAGGATATTGAATGAGTGTAAGTTCAACACTGAAATTTTGTGAATTCGCGAAATTGAAATCTTAAAGCTTAAATCGTAAAGCTTAAATCGTGAATTCGTGTAGTTTGATTAGCGAAGTTGAAATCGTTTATTCGTGTAGTTGAAAATGTTTTTTTTCATGAAGTTGAAACTTTGATTTGTAAAAGTTGAATTTATGGAGTTGAAACTGTGACCTAACGAAGATGAAATTGGGAATTCATGAACTTGAATTGTTCTCGCCGGTCTTTCGTATAAGAATAAAAATAAGTGAAGAGTGACATTCAACAACGTTGCATTTTTATACAAAATTTTAATGATTTATTGATAGAGTGTAACAGTGCAAAACGTTTCTGCTCAAGTGTGTAAATCTGAGATGAAAAGAATGTAAATGGGTGAAAACATTTTTTCTAAATGGTGATAGAAAGTTAGAGACTGCAAGCTGTTCATACACAAATGGACCTTTTCACGACGTGGTCGTTGCTATGCAAAATTGATCACATGAAGCATGTGCAATCTGCATAGGGCAGAAAGATCACACCATACTGTTACATAGCGGGTGGCTTTGTCGGACCGTATATGTCACGGAACGTATATGTCACACGTGTTGGACATTTTCGGTCGAATTAATCACAGCTGTGTTTATGTGCCATATTCGTATGTAAAGGCCTGACCGTATATGGCACTCAGTTTACATAGTAAACTAACATTATCATCGCCGTTTTTATCTACCTACATCAACGTTAATTATACATCATCATCATCATCATCATCATCATCATCATCATCATCATCAACAACAATAACAACAACAGCAACAAAAACATCATCATTACCATCATCATCAATGATATATCATCATCGTCATCATAAATCAGTCCACGCCGCCTTGCTTATCATTTTTCCAGTAAGATGGAACTGTTAATACACAGTGACTGGCTTTGTCGAAAATATGTGTTGCTTCAGAAATAATTTAGTTAGGGTATTGAAACTTAGATGTACGTTGGTTAGCATTATGTTATTGTGCACCTGGCGTTTTGCTTGTCGATTCGGGATTCGGGCAGTCATGCCAGAGTTATTGCCCTTCACGTCAAATCGAATATTGTCAATTTGTGCCGTGTGTAGCTTCAGCAGTATTTAAACTAGGAGCATGGTCATAAAACTTAACATGAATGAAGTTGTTCACCGATGCTTAGGTTGTCGATTCCCGCAATAGAAAGAGCATTGAAACACGAGGCTATCTTATTTGTACGAGGGGGCGTTGCCCCCAATTATTAATCAGATTGCCGAGTGTTTTGATGTTCTTTCACTTTTGTATCATAGTCAAACATAAAAACACGTTCCCTGTTGTCACAACATGAAACCCCATAACAAAGGAACCAATGAACGAGCATCTGAATATGATATTTCCATCGCTATCCCTTTCTCTGTCATCACAACATGTAAACCCCAGACAAAATGAACCAATCAATTGGCATGCTCTGGAGTGCGGGTAACTAATACCTGCACTCCAGTTAACGCACTGTGCATGTATATATATGTATACGATTTAACTCTGACACGTTTTCAACAGAAAGGTCCCCAAACTATGATACAAGAAAGAGCTGTTCTGTATTGTCAAATATAATAATATTGGGGTGTAACATGTCTTGTCGTTTAATATTAATATGTCAAAAATAAAGTGATTTGCATGTAATATTGGCATCTCTGAAACGGAGTTTTATGATACTGGCATTCCACAAATAGAATTAGTATAACAAAACTCTGCAGTCATCTGATGTAAGTATATTTTAAATCATATTCCATGCCATGATACTGAGGTGTAACTGTATAATTAACTGAAGCTTCTTTGCTGTCAGAAAATGCGCAATGTGACTTTGAAATGGATTTACAACTGTATAGCTTGTTTATCTCTAATTATGTATAAAATATCTGTTATATTTATAAGCTACAGATTGTCTTCATTTCAAGCGGATAAAAATTTCATCTGCATACAGCAGAATGCATTGTTCTCGGCAACAGACACACCATTCCCAGTTGCTTTCATCGACATCGCTTCAATGTGATAAGGGAATAATCTTGTCTCAAAATATGAATATGTAGTCATTAACAAAAGAAAGAGAGAGAGAGCGCGCGACTTTTGTTCACGGAACGTCACACTTGAAAGGCAGCGAGCTCTTTATATTATATAGGATCTATGAATATTCAATGTTGATAATATATTCATTTAGTACAACATAAAAACTTAAAGACGTATTCCTGAGAATTTTCCAATCAAGTGGAAAATGTTAAATAAAAGTATACCTTATTTGGATAGCACTGTACAGTATTTCAATTTTACTTAACATAATTGTATTCATTCAGATTATTAGACGTATGCAAGATGAAGACAAATTACTTTCGCAATTTACTTATCGTACTGCATTAAATGTATCAGAAATAAGTTTGCAATATCATTTTGTAATTCGTTTCAGACTAAAATGGAGCAAATGGCTCAGAAACACGTAATGAAAGGTAAACATGTTATCGTAATTAGTGGAGGGTCGTACAGAATGAGAACTTTAGGGCCAGATGCTGACAGTTACGGCATTAAGGTATATATTTTGATTTAAAGAAACGCCACATCTTATTAAAGTGACCTTCAGCCTTTTAGTTGGAAAAACAATTCTGTGCTGTTTCAAACCAAGTATTTCAGTATTATTACCTAAGTGCTTCATACCGCTGTTAAGCGTTCTTTAAAACAGCGTCTCGATGCTATTGCTATTTATAGCGTCTCGTGACGTTCGTTTCTATTTGTTTTTACTAATTTACATAATTATATTTTAGATAGTTATTGTTTTTTCAAAATCTTTTAGAAAAGTGAAACAACACTCATTTTATCCGGTTTCTCGTAACACATGTAAATATTTTTTAATGCAAGTCACACTAATTGTCACTTCACAAATCAATAAACATTGATGAGATCGGTATATATAAAAGTTACTTAAATTACGATTTTCATAATTGTACGTGATTAACTATATCATGGTTCTAAAACGTCCCGGTCAATCTGTTTGACACTTACCGCCTGGCCAACCCAAAGAAAGTGTACAATACAAATTGTGTAATATTATGTAATACAGGGGTTATAAAATTTAATCTTTAACACCCTGCTGTTTAATTTCAAATTACGGATGAAAAAGTCGTCTAATGATACCTTAAACAGACGTCTTTTGTATGCGCCTTTTGACTATTGGATTATTAGTACTGCATATTTATTACATGTATATCTGTTATAAATATCAATTGACGTTTTAAGTACTTATCGCTTTAAGTCATCCCCAAATTACTGTTTTATGTTGATATAACATGGAATAACGACTATTAAAGCCTTAAACTATAATACATTGTTGTCAATTTTAATGCGCTTTTGCCCTACGCAAAATGCGCATTCGCGAAATGTAACATTGGTTGCTATGGAAGAATCGTATTGTAAAAAGGACCGGTAGATTAGAAGTATCGAGGGGTTGCTCATTGTTTTTGTATTTAATCGACGACAAATTTTATTTTATACCTTAATTCTTTCGATTTGACAATTATAAGAAACGATTTATGTAAAAATTACATATTTAACCTTTAAAAAGACTGAAGGCCGCTTTAAATATACATAAAGAATGTTTCGCGACTAACATATGGCCGTTTTTATGACAAGTGATAAGT